TAACGCGAAGGCTGGACTCGAACCGCTGAAGCGTCGACCATTTCTGCCCAGCAACTTTCAGCGTCATTAAGCTGCTGCGCCACTTGAGATTAAATTCCACCAATCTCAATAGGCTTATTTCTGAATAAGCATACAGTGTGTAAGATTTCATTGGAACAGGAGGATCTTGCAACAGTAACCCATAACCTCATCACTATGCTTCTGGATTACTGCAATATGTTTTATGTGGGTTAGCCTTTGAACACCCTTTGCAAGCTCCTATTAATCCAGAATGCACTGGACTAGTTATTGGTTGGTGTTCATTGCCACAACTACATTACGTCTTCGCTGTGGGCCCTGCCCTGGCTTCCTATTAGTTGCTGGGTACAATTCAAAATGCTGTCCATACCTAAAAAGCTCTATGTGGCTTGGCACCGAGGCAATTGTAGGACTGCTTTTCCCAACCAGAACCAATCAGGTCCACTCAAATGTCCTTGGAGAAACTGCTGGTGATCCCCCATTTCTGTGAAGCATGTGGAGCAGAGACTTGTAGGTACTGCTTCTAAAGGCAGCACTACACTATGGAATAGTCTTTCATTAAGAAGACTGTTAAGACTTCCAAGAAATTAGCTTGTCTCACACAGGTTTAACTTGCAGACATTTTTGAAAACTAAGTTATCCTGGATGGCTTATGGAGAATGATAGGATGCCGAGGGTTGTTTGACTTTATGTTATGGTTCTATGGTTTTAACTGTTCAGTGTTAGTTTTACCATGGCATTTTAAGCTTGATGGTCTGCTTTGTGTTGCTCTTAATTTCTGTAAACCATTGAGAATCTGTGATTGTGGCACCTAAATCTGATAAAGAAACATATACATATTTAATGTGCCTGCGTAGTCTCCACATCTCCAGAGGCTTCTCCAGTCAATGTAAGTGGAGGAGAGAAACTGTTATGCATATCTCCATAATATGCCCAGATACACGTTTAAAACTGTTGTAAATGGAAAAGTCTATGTGTCCATTCTAGCTGAGCTCTCCTGGAATTTAGCTAGTGTTTACATGAGCCTCATTTTTTTCCTCAATTACAGTATGTTGATAGAAGGTCATGAACATTGAAGAAAGAGGATATGACTGAAAGTGAAATGACTTTTGTAGCATTATTTAAATGTCATATACAAATATTATAGTGTAATTTAAAACATCACGGCTACTAGACATATATAAAAATTGGTTTCTTCATATGAAATTCTTATTATTCTTATTATTCTTATTCTTATTATTTTAGGTCACTCTGGAAATAGAGAGCTTCAGTTATGACAAAATAATTCAGCTATTCTATTGTTACTGAGCCTATGGGTGCAATTTATAAGCAAATAAGCTAGCATGTTGATATATAAGCAATAATAATCTGCAGATTTAGACATGTATATCTGGATTTAATTTTCATTAGTGAAAGAAAGGAAACATTTATTTGCATGCAAAAAAAAAAACCTTATAACTCTAAGTTATCAGTTGTGATTCCCTCATTTATTTGAATTATATAATATTTGTATTTAATATTATATAAATACAATATTTGCAAACTTTCTTGCTATATCTTAACTTAATCTTTAAATGCATTAAAAACAAAAATGCCACTATAATAATTGCTTGTTCCTTCCTGGTTATTAAAAACCCAGATAAAAATATGAAAAACTGTAGCTGAAAGGACTTTCTCTAAACTTTACAGAATAGCTCAAAATGACTTGGTACCTACCACAGAGAGGACTGATCTTTAAATTTAATCCTCTTGTGTAATGTTATCGTCTGAATTCTACAATTGTCCTTATAGTTTTATATATTCTTTTCCTTAAATTTGGAAGCAACGTGGGATAGATTGCTTTTAGAGATTCTGCTTTGTAAAGATCAGTCCTATCTAAATGGATGTACAGGATAAGACTGGTTTGGACAGAAGATGTATTTATTTATTAAATTTATATAGTGGCCCATCTCACTTGCATGTGACTCTGGGCAGCATACACAATTGAAACAAAACTAAACAATCAATATAATTTATCTATTAAAGCTATTAAAAATGATATTAAGAAAAGGCAAGGGAGAATGCAATCAAACTTATACCAGCCATTTAATGGGTTTCACACTTCCATGGGATCTCCAGGCCCAGTGACAAAACCAAGTTTTGAGGACCTTCCAGAAGGCCAAAAGGATTGGGGCTAACCTCATCTTGGAGGGAATGATGTTCCAAAAGGTGGGTGCCATGCAGAAAAGTCTGTCCTCCTGGGTCCCACCAAACAAAGCTCCTTGGCTGATGGGACCCACAACATGCCTTTCCTGCTGGACCTGATGGGACAGGTAGATGTAATTGGGGTGAGGTGGTCCTTCAGATAATCTGGCCCCATGCCATGTAGGGCTCACAGCACCTTGAACTGTACCTAGAAGCAACTGGTAACCAATGCAGCTCGTGGAACAGAGGTATAACACACGTAACTGCCCAAGCTGCTGCATTTTGCACCAGCTGAAGCTTCCAGATACTCTTCAAGGACAGCCCCATGTAGAGCATTTTACAGTAGTCCATCTGGGAGGTGATTAGGGCATGAGTGACTGAGAGTAGAGCCTCCTGATCCAGGAAAAGATGCAACTGGCACACAACACAAAGCTGTGCAAAGGCCTCCTGGCCATGGCTGCCACCTGCTCTTTGAGCAGGAGTCATGAGTCCAGAAGGACCCCCAGATTGTGCACCAGGTCTGTCTGGGGCAGTGCTACCCCATCCAGCACCAAAGATGGTAAATCCTCAGATACTGTAATGGAATGTGAGAATGACTTTGGAAGACGGGGTAAGAGATGTTGCCTCAGGAATGATCAGATAAAAGGGGGGAGAAGCCTGCAACTGAGTAATGGGCAGAGAAAGAAAATTAGAAAAGGATCTGCCCTAACTGATTAGGCAGTAAAAAGGAACAGCAGGGGATCTGTATTTTCAGACTTGCAAGATTCTGTTAATGTAGCCTAACAATAAAATAGAAGTAGCTCATCTGGTTGTGTTTCCTGTCCGGTTTACCTGGGAGAGCTGACAGATATGGAAGGCCCCCAAATCCAAAACCACTCCGTCTTCCCAGGGCTCAGCTGAAGCCTGTTCTTCCCCATCCAGACCCCCATAGTCTCCAGGCACCGAAAAAGAACACCAACAGCATCACTTAGCTCACGAGGGGCAGAGATGTATAGCTGGGTGTCATGAGCATACTGATCATAATGATTTCACCCAGTGGCTTCATGTAGACGTTTAATAGGAGCAGAGAGAGCACCAAGCCCTATAGAATCCCACACAGTAGAGCCTGAGAGCTGGACCTCTCACTCCCAATCAACACCGACTAGAACCAGGGCTACTGGATGGCTATCTGTGGATAAAATAAGGGTGGAGAAGTATTGATTCTTTGCCACCCTTACCACCACTAATAGCAGCTTTAACCTGTGTTCCATCAAAAACCTGTGTTTTTTGTTCTTCACCAGTGGTGCTCCAGATGTCTCTGAACCCATTTCATCTCCTTCAACTTTTTGGTGAACCATAGAGAGTGATGGGATTCATGGGTAGGGAGAGGTTGCATGGGCACTATCCAATCCAAGGCCTCAGTCACCCTCCTGTTCCAGGCAACAATCAAAGCCTCAGCAGGACCGTGCAGCAGATAATCAGGAATAACCCCCAGTTTCCCCAGGAACCCATTAAGGTCCATCAGTCGC